CTTCTTTGCTTCAACCCCTCCATAGCTATTCTTGTACAAACCGACAGGCTCTAAGCAAGATTTTTAATGGCCCATGAGGGAGATTAAGTATTTATCAATTAGTACCAAATTATTTTATCTTTCGCAATGATTTAGATCTTGATAAATTAGATAAACCGTTTGTAACTTTAAACTCGCCAAAATAAATCCTCGAGCTTACAACTGTACATCCCTAATGCGGGGTATTGTATTCTAAGCGCGTGCAAATTTTATGAGAATGGTTTATGTACAACAAGGGTGTTTTAAGTCATTCACGAAGAGACCAAGGGCCAATTTAGATAAATTATATGATACAACAAGGCTTTGTAAGAATTCTGTGTCTGAACTATCTCTAGGCAAAAACAAATCTAGCTTTACCTCATGTTATACATTTTTGAGAAAAAAAAGAAGGATCTGCATACCCTACTCAACCTTTATAACAACAAGGGTTAACACCTAAAAGAACAAAGTATTTAAGTAAAATAAAAATAAAAATAAAACCAACTATGCAAGCAAAGAACTTCCACAAGATATCAAATAAAGGACCAATCCAGCAAAACCTCCAAAACTCCGTAGCCAAGCAAAGTACATGTGCCTCTCAGAGAGGAGCAAGGCAGAAACAGATGCCACGTGCTTTTAACAGAACAAAAGCCAAAGGAGTTGCAAGCAAAATACTAGTAGTAAGAAGCAAATCTTTTACATCTTCTTTACACCTTCTCTTTGATCTTAAAGAGTACAATCTACAACTCAACAGTATAAAAATCGCATCACTTTCATCTTCTTCTCAAAATGGGTCAATTTGCTGGATGAAAGACGCTTTCTTTTTTAATTTTCTTTTTCTTTTCGGGGAAATACATGCTCTCACTTGATGCTTGCCTTCGCGATAGAAGATGTGCATGGACCCGCGGATGTCATGAACGGGACTCCCTTGTAGGTTGCTATGCCCTTGTCGTCCGTGTACAAATGCTGAATGCACAAAGAAGAGTTTTCAAAGCTAATGATAGCTTATGGAGTATACATAGATAATCTCTATTCAGTAATATGTTTGCCTATGATCAATATATTTATCCAACAAGGATCCAATCCTATGAGACATTGGACCAATTTTCTGAGAATTAGTTGCAAAATTTTGGAATTTTCAGTAATCCAAATTACATTTTCGCTGCAATTTCATGTTGTAAACGTTCCCAAGTTGCCTCTAAAAAAATCTTTTCACAATTTCAAAAAATTGTACCTCTTGAATAGTTCCTAAATAGTGACCACGACTCGTTCCTTTTTTGTTTTGAACGTAAAGTTCATAACACCCTTCCATAATCCCAAGCCATGTTCTTAAAGTTGAGGCAAGACCCAGTGGTAATTTCTATTATTACTTGGATGACATAGATGTTGGTAGAAAAAAGTGCCCTGACCATAACTAACAATTTACGTAAAGATAAAAAAAAAGGCCCATAAACATCCATGAAGCATAAAAAATCATTAGTATGTCACATGTTTCTTAGGAAATAGAAAGGTGTGAAAATTGTGAACAATCTTTTATCTCACTTCCAGTAGACTACATAATCAAAGACATTTCTACATAAATCAGAATATCAAGGACGAGGACAATTGGCATACCGGTGTGATCTTGTCCAACTGCTTTTTCTTTGGGTTTAGAACATCTTCTGGCTTCCCATCATACCTATAATAAAAGAGCATGTCCACAGTTCAAAAAAACATTATGAAATTTGCAAGAGTACATCCAAGAGCACAAAGCAATTGAACTACCATCCACCTAAATCCATGATACAAATAATCACAACAAGAATTTCAATTTCAAGGGACAGTAAGGAAGTACAACATTATGCAGCTATTCCCACTCAAGTAAGCAATTGCAAATGAGTTTCAATTTTCAAGGAATTCAATTACAGTTTTACAAGCAAAACACATGAACGTTTAACGACGATTCAAATTCCAATAGCCGCAGATGAAAATTTTGAGGGTTGATACTAAGTTGGTAAGCAATTCTGATAGTAAAGCCAGCAATTAAAATCGAGTGCTAGATTCGGATAGTACCCAATGATGACTTAATAGGTTTCTAAGAATAGAATAAAAGTACAATTCATATGCAGAGAGAAACTTATCAACTAATGAAAAAATATAGATATATTCAAATGAACACCAATTAGTCCGTTTGCCAAATATACTTATCGATTAACGAACTGAAAAGGATATGGGTATGCTCTCTCAAACTTAATTTGTCCATTGTATAAAATAATATAAAGTTATGCATGTTTACCCTGCAAATGAGATAGGCTCCCCAATGATGGCTCCTTCTGGAGGACTCAAAGGCTCCACTGCTGTATGGTCTTCATTTGAAGCACATAATACCTAAGAGCAGGTGGACTATATAATTAAACAAACCAAAGATAAATAAGTGATGTAATAATTTTCATCACAAAACCATATAAAGAAAAAAAAAAGAAACTGGCAAAAGCCTATATCTCAAAAATAACATCTCAATCCATCAACGATCAAAATCAAGAACAACAGAAATAGATGCACTAGCGTTAGGATTACTAGAACAGTTGAGAATGTACGATAATTTTCCAGCGCAAACAATATGGTATCAATAACAAAAGCACTAGCGTTAGGATTAGTAGAATGCCCAAATGTAATTATTATACGAACTGGACTTTTGGATGGTAAAAAAATAGAAAAATGTACTTTTAACAGTCAGGCTAACAAGGAACAGTTCAGCTCTGCAGATAAGGACACATAGGAAAAGACATCATAGTTAATGAGAAACTGGCAAAAGCCTATATCTCAAAAATAACATCTCAATCCATCAACGATCAAAATCAAGAACAACAGAAATAGATGCACTAGCGTTAGGATTACTAGAACAGTTGAGAATGTACGATAATTTTCCAGCGCAAACAATATGGTATCAATAACAAAAGCACTAGCGTTAGGATTAGTAGAATGCCCAAATGTGATTATTATACGAACTGGACTTTTGGATGGTAAAAAAATAGAAAAATGTACTTTTAACAGTCAGGCTAACAAGGAACAGTTCAGCTCTGCAGATAAGGACACATAGGAAAAGACATCATAGTTAATGAGAAGTATAAAAGATCTGTGTGCCAACAACAAATCATAGTCCAAAAACGTCAAATGCTATATCTACTCCCAAAAGCAATATGAAGTATTCATGATTAACTCAAATAATTGAATCCATTGATGGAGCTCTAATTTAACTGATGCTTATTGGCGACAAATCAGATACATCTATGCTTACCTGGATACTTCTGATATAGAGCTGTACCCGTACTCAACATGTGTCATACCCATACCCGTACCCGATATTTTTTTTAAATTGCTTAAATAGATGCATATATTTATTTTGACATATACTCAATTATACTATGCATGTTTAATTTAAAACACTCGTCATACATTTTGTGGATATATATCTCCACACTTCACTTCCATTTCTGTAATTTGTTGGAAGGGTCGAGTTCATTTCAGCCTTAAGAACTACAATTTAAAAGGGTATATATAGCTCAGAGCTATAATTAATCCCATGAGTTTCAGTCGTGTCCCCGTACCCTACCTTTTACAAACTTACCATGTCCCATACCCACACCCGTAGCCGCACCCGCACCCATACTGATGCACCCTAGGATATCATTCTTCTAGGAGAAATTTGGGAGTCAAGAATCTGCTATTATCTCAATGAATATTGTGACAAGGTATTGAGCATATATCAAACTCTGGAATGAATCATTTGATCACTGAATATTCGATTCTTCCTTCAACTTCTATTGGGATAGATCCATAATAACTCTGAATTTTGCATGTCTTGCATATATACGATTCTTCCTTCAACTTCTATTGGGATAGATCCATAATAACTCTGAATTTTGCATGTCTTGCATATATATGGATTCGGGTCGTGATTAATCATTTGATATGCCAGTATGTATATGTATATATTAGATATATAGGTCATCGATATATAGGTCATCCTTTCTTTAATTTAGAATACAACAGTGAAAACATAAAGCTGCTTCAGTCAGTTATTCAACATTTAAGCTAAGTTACAACGGAGACTTACCAAGCCAGCAGACATCACATCTCGTAGTTTTCCAGGTTTAACATTTGTAATTAGCGCCACCCGACGATTCTGCATATAAAATCCAAACCATATTTATCAATTACATATAAAATTGATCAAGAGAGAATGAACTTGACCCAGTAATTGATAGCAATGCATCTACAATCTTGAAAGAGAATAACACAGGAAAAAAAAGTATTAGATGATGATAGCAAGGAAAGTTGAGCTCTTACAGTAAGATCCTCTGGATTACAGTATTTTGCAAGTCCACTCACGACTTGACGTGTGTTACCATCTCCCAGCTCAATCTCCTCAACTATTAAGCTGCAGGACAAAACAAAGCACTCAAATCAAAAAGCCATTAAATTTAGAAATTAGTTTTATATTAGCCATGAAACATACCTATCAGCAGATGGATGTTTCCATGCCTTTCGAATAAGACCAACCTGTATATTAAGAATAGTAATACTTGTTTCTGCATCCTTTTCAGAGGACTCCTTATCAGGTTGTTTGTTCTTCTCCTCAGAGCTCTTGATATTCTTCCTTGGTTCAACAGCAGGTTTATCATTGCCAGAAGTCTTTTTCTAAAAATTTCAAGAAGCCAATCAATTTTTCCAAACACATCCATAGTAGTTAGGAAAAAAAATAAACAAAATAAATTCATGGAAAACTGCTAGCAAAATGATGCAATAACAAGTTCTCAGTCATCCCAAAAGAAGGTCAAATGTTGAGTGTACAGATTAAAATAATGGGGCAGCAACTCAATGCATAGGAGCTTTCTTCCTAGCATAGTGAAATAGCAAATTATGAAGAAAAGTGCAAACCGTATAGCTGGGCCACCAAATAGTTTATAAATAGGAAATTACTACATTAAATATGTCACAGAACAATAAAAATCATTACATATACAATGGAGGACTTTGTTGTTCTCAAGATAACATGGATGATTATTCCAATAAACCAAAGAGCCTGGCAGCGATCCAGGGATAATGCATATTGTTTACAAGATCTACATGTCCTATGAAAAATGAATGTAAAATCATATAACCTTGCATCAATAGTAAAAGTGAACAAACTTTATGCGACAAAAGTACTCTGCCTAACTGTGAGTTTAGATCAATAAAAATCTGTCTGAAAAAAAAACTCATATAAAAACATTTATCATAACCGTAATGTATGAAGGATATCATCATCTACAAGCCTTATTAATGGATCTGCTGTGATGGTAAGGCTCCATAAAAGAGATGATAAAAATTTACACGAGGTAACTTGATGTGTCACCTTCTAAATTGGTGCAAAATTCTTGGTCATGAGTAATATTGAGTATGAATAGAGAAATAACATTATCCACATTCAAGCCAAAACTCAATAAATACAATCAATTCTTGTTGGGCAATGAGAGAACAAACATGGCCAATTAAAAATTACTCAGAGAAACGTATAATTACTCAAATAAACTTTTCTCTGCGAAAGGAGAATTAATGAAATAGACATTTTGCTATCCAAATATGGTACCTCAGCAGCACCTTTCACAGAATTTACTTTTCCTTCTGACTTATTTGTATCCTTTGAGGCCTGAGAAACTTTCTTTGAACTCGTATCAGCATTAGACTTATCAACTTTCTTTGAAATCTGATCAACAGTAGTCTTATCGACCTGCATTGAGCTCTGTAAAATAGAACATAGGGGAAGAAAAAAATACACTGCTCAATTCACCATCAAAGGGATCTTTGTTTATTACGAGAAAATTTATACATAATACTTAGGAAAAGTAGAACTTTTGTAGTCCTCAACAAGTTGCACTTGAATTCTATCCGCAATCTCACTTTAACCTAAATGGGATAATAAACAAAGATAGAGTGAAGAGTCCAACTGATGGAGAGAACTCACAAAATGTTCAAATGCAGGCTGGCTAACCAAAATTTTTGCAAGCAATCCCCCAAAATCTACCTTGTTCTGCATCCATTTATCAAAAGTAGAACATAGCATTATTAACCACTGCATTATGGAGCAGATGCAATGAAAGAAATCAAAAAAGAAACCAAAACATTATGAATATTGGCATGCACTTATTATTTTTTGCAAATGTGAGGAGTATTTTAATGAATATTTTTTTTGCAAATGTGAGGAGTATTTAATGAAAGAAATCCTAGATATACATTAGTTAACACAATGAGCCAACTTTTGAGAACAAAAAGAACAAAAAATAAAGGTATCAGTGTATACAGCTTTCAAAACTTACTAATGATCACTCGGGAATGATTTTTTTGGTAAAATGAGGTAAAAATATACATTCATGGAAATAATTTAGCATAGGAATGAATGTGAAATATATATCAGAACGCTACCTGAATGTAGTCCATCCATCTTACAATATTTTGGTACTTCTGCATGTCTGCTTCAGAAAGATTGCTCTATTCATCGTACAAAAATAATCGGAAAGTAATGAGCATCTTACACCAGGTCCAATTTCATATTTACATAAATAATAAAGTACACACAATAATAAAAATATTTCAATTAACAACATCTAATACATATGATTACGAAAGAAGAAAGCAGGATATTCTAGATGCAGTCAAGATAAAACATCAATGTAATGCACTTGTTAAGCTTTACTGACAAGCATCTGCCTTTGTTCAGATTTTTTGTACAAAAGGTGTCATAATATTCCTGTGGAATACTTACGTAACTCCAATCTTAACCTCCTCGCTCTTTTTTAAAGATTTTGTCCTCCATATTCCTCTCTTTTTTTTCCAAAAGAAATCAATATTACATTGCCAATAGAAACAATGAAACAAATTCCGAGGCACATCACAAGGCAAGGACTCAAATAAGTGCATGTTGATTAAATTAAATATGTTGTTAATGAATACTTTTACAAAAATTAGCTTATAAATCTTTTTCAGAAAATAAAAGAAATTAAATAACACACTTTCATTTCATCAATACTGTTTTTGAAATTTGTATTGGAGCTGAGTCAGCAGACGTTCATGTATTGTTGAAGTTTACAACTCGACGCCATGAAATTTACAACCATCTCTAGTCCAAAAAGGTATTCATCATAAACTAGAAAAAAGGTGCACTAGTCATGGGCCTTGGTTTTTAAAAGGAAAATGACTTTTGTCTAGATGGAAAGGCTAAATTCATTCAAGACCTACGTCTCTGCTTTTACCAAAACGAAAAAGGTTGCATGGATTATCAAAGACACTCAGCAACCATTATTATATGGAATAGAAATTACATACCACGATAGAGTGCAATGCAGAAAATACAACAATGTCAGCCTCTGAGGGTTGAAATCCGGAACCCAAAAGAACAGCCCTTGAGGCCAAATCCTCATTCAGACCTTCAAGTTTCGCAAAACAAGCCTCAGGTTCGCATGGAAAATTACTCGCAAACTCTACCCACTTCATTACCTGACACCAAAGTTACAAGATGTCAAGCTAGTACAATCAGACATAACCAACAAAAACAATCCGAATAGCAAATACGCCGTGAATAAATTGAACTTTTATACCTCAGCTTGATTTGCTAGGGGAACATCACTCCCTGATAGCTTCAAAATATTCGAGAACAAACTCATAAGATCACCCGATTCGACACTTGCGCTTGAAAATTTGCTCTACGAATTCAACATGATTCTCTGAATTAGTAATGAGATAGATGTCCTCATAAAGCCAATCGAAATCAGTACATGACCATTACAACAATTAAGAGTTTGTTTGTAAGATTATCATGTGATTAATCACCCAAGAATGTAAATGTGTCTCAAAACTTGATTACACTTCAACAACACACTCAATAGCAATCTGCAGTCAAAATAACAAACACCCAATTCAAAATTATCAACTCCGAGAATAACGGCAGGGCCGGCCCTGGGGTAAGCCCACAAAGCCCCGGGGCTGGGGTAACCCAGGGCCGGGGGGGCAACCATCGCAATTACATCATTCACCCCTCAAATCGTAATAATTTTCGAAGTGGACTTTGTAAGAGGACTTTTATGCAAAAATTGTTAGGGGTTTTATTAGTAAAAAAACTCTTATTAATACCCAAAGCCCTACCCAACTCCTCCTTTATTTCCGTCAGCCCTCTCTCCTCCTTCTCGTCTCTGTTCTGCCGCTCACAAAAAAAGAAAAAAAACGGAGAGAATCTGAATCGACGGAGACACCGCTCTGTTCCGCCGTCTCTGTTCCGTCAGCCTCCAACTCCTCCTTCCCGTCTCTGCTCCCATCATTCGAACCACCCCGCTGACTCCTCCGACAGTCTGATCCAGTCACCCAAAAGACGAAGAGAATTTGAATCGACTTATCGACGCTGACGGCCGATCGGTCCATCAAAGAAACACAATCACGTAATTTTTTTAAATAAATAATTTTAGGTTTTTTTTGGACGGAAATTTGGGGTTTTGATGTTTTGCAATGAAATTAAGATTTTTGATTTTGAATCTTGACAGAATATTAGTTGTTGAATTAGGGGTTATGATGTTTGGGCGGTTTCGTCTAGGTTTTTGTTTTGAAACTAGAAATTAGATTTGATTTAGCTATTTGGGTGGCACAGGGCGGTTTCGTCTAGGTTTTTGTTTTGAAACTAGAAATTAGATTTGATTTAGCTATTTGGGTGGCACAGTTATGCCTTCTGACTAGTTTCTCACAGTCTCCATAAGTTTAAAAGAAGCTTATCAAAGTTGAAAGATGGAAAGAGGAAATAATGTTTACTTGTTAAAAAGTTCATCTCCCTTCTAGTCATCTAAAACTCGAAAATCCTAATGGAATCTGATATATTTCTATTTGGTTTTAATTATAATCTCAATTTAACTTTGATTTGATGACATTCATATTATTGGATTGCTATCTAGATTAATTGTTTGATTGTTTTAATAATAATGATATTGCTAAGTCTTCGTTCCGACATCAGTTTAGTTGATTGTTATGATTTCATATATGTTATCTTCGCACTACCATGTCACGGGATTGATTGAATGGGTTAGCAATTATATCAATTGAAAATGAATACTTCGAGAATCTCGAGTATGATGACTTAATTGAAGAATTCGCTTTAAAAAATTCAAGGAGAAGTGATTTTCTTTGAATTAAATTGTAGCACAAATGTAATTTTTTCTTATATGAATATTGATTTTGCAAAAGAATGTTATCAGTTTGAGCCAAATATAGAACGTTAAATGGTATTATATGTATTCATTTTTATCGTTATTGTTCGTACCAAATTTTTAATATAAGGGGCAACCAAAATTGGATTGGGCTAGGGCAACCAAACCTCGGGGCCGGCCCTGATAAGGGAAGAAAAATCCGACGAAATTACTCCGACCCATTACTTGTATCGGTCTCCAACTGAACTATCCATTTATAACCACGAAATCAATCAAAGAAAGCCCCAAAAAAATTTAAAAAAAGAACTAAAAAGATTGAGGTGATGAGTAGTTACTGGATCGAGTGAGAGGCATTTGCAGAGAGCAAAGATCAAAGCTTTGTTCCTGTTACACGTCTCCACATCAGCGGCCATTTTTTTTCTTCACTGTCTCCTCTCTCTGCTTCGCTCCTGGGTTTTAGCTAGGGCTTGATTCGGGTCGGGTTGATGTTTTCAGTTTTTTTAGCCGGACATGCCCGAAACCGTTATACTGGTAATTGGGCCGTCTGATTCGAGTATGGCTAGCTTTGGCCCATTTTCAGTCGTAGACAGTTTGGGGCTAAAGTATCTTATATAGATGGGCCTTAATATGACAAATATATTTTTGTCAATTTGCAATTAATACAATTTTTTTGTCAAACCCCAAAAAAAAAGGAGGAGTACAATAATTAATTTGTTAAATTTCTTTATCCATGAAGATTAAGTTATAGGATCCACATTGATAGCATGTTTGCAATTTGACCAGCAGGAGTACAATGATTGACTAAAATCTAAAGGTTCCCCTAGATTTTTGGCACCAGACTGCGTCAGTTTTAATCTACATAATTTTTTTTTAAAAAGTATTAGAATGGCAGATTCAAGAAGTCGAGTTTTCAGTACTCATTGGAATAATAATTTTGTTTTGTTTTTTAGCTGATTTGGCCACCAAAGAGGTTGACACATATTTGCCTTTGTTTCAATTGTTGAAGAATTTTTTTTAAATAAACCCATTTATATTATATTTTTCTAAAAATAGATCTTCTTGAGTTTTATTTATAAAAATAAACCCATTTTATCTTAATTCGGTTCCTAAATAGTCGGGATTGCCAACCCCGACTATTTAGGAGGTTGTAAACCCCCAATTATAACCCTCAACCCTCTAATTCTATGCACTAAATAGTCGGGGTTGACATCCCCGACTATTTAGGAACCAGATTAAGATAAAATAGATCTATTTTTATAAATAAAACTCAAGGGGGTCTATTTTTAGAAAAAAATTATGACTGGGTTTGTTTAGAAAATTTCTTCTTCAATAGTTTGTACTTTGAAATGAATGATTCTCCATGAAATGCAATAGGAATCTCGTGTCATGGAAATTTTTGGAAAAAATTTTCGTCTCTCGTCTGAAACTTAGCAGCCATTGGATCTTAGGAGGGTCTTGAGTCTTCACTCAGAAGGAGAAGAGCATGAATAGAGGAATATTTTTCAGTGAAAAAAGATAGGGGGGAAGTATGAATTTAAAAAAGAAGTGCGAGCAAAGCGACAAATCACAAAGCTTTGGCATAATTTTCTTTAATTTCTTTTCGGTCCATCGCTGAAGCTCTTATGCTTGAGAAATATATTATCATATTTAGCGAGCAAATGGGGGGTCATCAGAATTTTTCCCTTATGGGGGGTTAGTCACCTAGAACTTTTTAAGTAGAACTGGGATAATTGGTAAAGTGAGATAATTTTTTAACACTGGGATAATTTAGTAGAACAATGATGGGTAATTCTTAAAGTGGGATAATTTGGTAGGATAATTTGGTGGGATAATGATGGATAATATTATGAAGTTGCATAATTTGGTAGGATAATTTGGTGGGGGGTAATGGTGGGTATAAATTACTATTGTTAATAATTGTATATTAAAAATAATATAATATTGATAAGCAAATTCTAGTGATAACTATAAAATATAATGCAATAAAGCATCATTATTCATCTCAAATAATAAAATAATTTACAAATAAATAAAAATCTAAATCCCTAGAGTGATTCGACTTCCATCATCCCACATAGCTTCTATCATCCCACATGACATCTGCCATAGAATTTCTCCAAACTCCTATAACTGCTCGTTGAGTCTGTAACTCATCTTCTTTATCGGAGTCATCATCTACATCAACAACATTTCGTGGAGCTTCTAGTGGAGGATCATAAATGTCGAAGTTCAAATCTCATAACATCATAAAGAAAGAAAAATAAGCATTTTTCAGCCATTAACCCTTTGGACCAATCTCATCATGAACGCTGAAACCAAATCAGCAAATAAATGAAATGTACACAGGAATCATTCATGGCCGCTAAACAGATGATCGACAGATGAACTATAAATATCCCAACCAATTTACTGAGCCGATTTAATAATAATAGATATCACCATTAACCATTCAACATCTAATCATCAATGTGATCGCAAAGTTACTTTCTAACTTATAAAAAAACATAAATAGCCCGCATATCTTTAGCACTAACCCACCAACACTATATTCTTAACCTAAACCACTGTTGTGGAGAGAAAACTTAGATCAAACAAATAATAATAAAGTAATTTAACGTCAAAAAGCTATCAATAAAGTAATACATCTTGAAGATAATAATAAAAGATCTAATCATCACAAAAATAAAGTAAAGACAGAAAAATGAACGGATGATTGACTTCATGGCAAAGAAATTTTCTAGGCGGAGAAACTAACCAAGAGAGAGGGAGGCGGCGTTTCACTTTTTTTTTCCCAATTGTATTCTTTCCAATGTGTGGGATAATTTGAGAGAGGAGAACTTATGGTTATATATATAGGTAGTATAATTTGTGGGATAATTATGACCAATTATCCCAATTCTAATTCTAGTAGAATTCTACTTGACTAACGCATAAAAAAAATAATACAGTTCTAGTTCTACAAAAGTTCTACTTGACTAACACTATAAAAAAATATCCCATTTTCTAGTTCTATGTGACTAACACCTTAAAAATTTATCCCACAAATTATCCCAGTTCCAGTTTTAAGTTCTACATGACTAACCCCCCCTTAGTTCGGCAAACATAACTTAATACATAAATCCAAAATTAGTCAAGTCTTTCAACGGTCTCCGGCCAAAAACAGGAGGTTGCAGTTTCTACACAGAAAGTGCGAGTCTGTGTAATTTCAGACAATCTAATTTACATACACAAATGTATAGTTTAAAATCGAAGCATGGTTATAATTAAAAAACATTAGACAAAATAAGGACAAAATTAATGACATGAGACCTGGAGAGTTCCATGATTCAACATTACACTAATAATTAAGTTAAGCACGGTTAAATGATGGTTTGAATTTAATACTGGCTCTTTTTGGGTGGCTGTTGTTAATCAAAACTATCATAGATCATAATTATTTGCTTGGATCTTAAATATTGATTGTCTGCTTGTTTTGGTTGGCGCACGGAGAGCAGAATCCTGTAGTTACAGCATCTATCTCTGTTTGGTAGTGATAGGTCAAAGCTAATCCAGTTCCTTAAATCTTCAATAATGGCATATTAGTCACTCAAATTTTGTAAATTGCACATTAGCCCCTCAAACCCTATAGCGTCTACAAAATGGTCCCTCCGTCAATATTTAAGTTTAAAAAAATCTAATCGTTATTGGATTAACTCCTAACTCGGATGTGCAATCACCAACGTATCCCTTTCTCTGACGTTTCAAACCGTTGTGAAGCTCAACTTTGAGTTAGAGTTCATTTCTTATTAATCGAGAAGAAAAACTCTAAGTGTGTTTGGACCTCCTAACCATTAGATCTGACGGAATATTCCACTAAAATCTAATATGGTTTTAACATAAAGGACCGTTTTGCCGGAACCTATGTGTAAGATTTGAGGGACTAATAAGCACTTCCCAAAGACGCGATGGACTAGTATGGGATCCTGAAGATGTAAGGGGCTAATATCTAAAACATTTAAAAAAACAAATTACAGTTAGCACCCCGCTTATTACGATCAACAACCAAACGACCACGAGAACCCTTTATAACCCCCTCCGCCCTCTCATCAGCTCGAGAGTTCAAGAAATGCAGACTCAACAACAACAATGGCCTCCGCTCTCTCTCTCTCTCCTCTCTCTCTTCTCTCTACTCTCTCTCTAAACCAGCGAAGCCATAGCTACTCCTCTCCTTCCTCCTCCTCCTCCTTCTCTCCCCCTCTAGCCCCTGCCCACCCGAACCGTCCTGCGCCTCTACTCGTTTTTCAAGTCTCCTCCTCGACCCCCCGGCTCCCTCTCCTCCTGGTCCCGCGATCCGACGACCCTGCCTTCTGGCCCACCTCCGTGTCGACGCCCCGCTCCGCCGCGTCACCTCCTCGACCTCCCTCCCTCGCCTCTCGGCAAGCTCAGCCGCGCCTCCCTCAGCTCCAGCCCTCGCTCCTCTCCCCCTCTCCAACAACAGCTCGGCGGCTTCCTGATCCCCGGCCTGGCCCACCTCCCGACCTGCCGCCTCGACCTGAAGCCACAACGGCTCGTCGGGGAGATACCCGCCGGGTTTTTTCCGGCAATCGGGGGCCCCTGGCCGACGTCAGCCCTCGCCGAACGGGCTCTACGGCCCGGTAGAGGACGTCGGTGTCCTTGCGGGAAAAGCTCGTGAGGCTGGACCTGTCGATGAATGCCCCTGTCCGGGGTCGGCCTGGCCCGACGAGATCTCGGGGGTTCTGGAAGCGTACGAGGCCTGGACTTCTCCGCAGACTCCTCGTGGGCGGGATCCCCGACGGATCTGGAGGCTGACCTCGGCCTGAGGAGGGTCGATTCGCGGAATCGATGAGGCGGGGGGATCCCGGCTCAATGCGGGGAACTGGATGCTGAGGTCGAGCTGAGGGCTGGGGAGAACTCCTTCTCCGGGAGTCCGGGCTGGAGTCGGGGGGATGAAGCGGCTGAGGTCTTGGACGTTTCCTCAAACGGGTTCCATGGCTTCCGTAACCCGATTCCATCGGGGGGTTGAGCGTTCCTGCGGAGGCTGAATTATTTCCGGAAACGGGTTCGTCGCGGCCCTGCCGGAGTCAACTGAGGGGGTTGCGCCGCCTGCTGGAGGCCGATTTCAGCGGGAAACTCTGATGGGGCGGCCTTCCTTCGTGGTTTTCGAGTTGGGCCTGGAGCGGTTCTTGGTCTCGAACAACGGGCTTGAGCGGAGGGTCGGACTGCCCGCGTCGGAGCCGTTCCCTCACGAGCTGGATTGTCCGGGAACGCAGTTTTCGCGACGTGATCCCCGGCGGACGTCGGAACGTGGAGGTTGCGGTTCCTGAATTTGTCATGGAACGCGTTCTCGGGCGCGGTTCCGGCGAGTCTGGGGGGGCTGAAGGCGGTGGAGGTGGTGGATCTGAGCGGTAACAGGTTGAACGGGAGCATTCCGTCGGAGGTTGGGGGGGCTGTTTCGTTGAAGGAGCTGAGGATGGGGAGGAACTCTCTCAGCGGAGGAATCCCAGGCCAAATCGTGAACTGCTCCTCTCTCACTTCCCTGTAAGTTCATTGTCACTCCTGATGCTTTTTCGTGGAGAATCGCCCATGATAATTAAATATCTTGTGTAAATTGGACAAATTTTTAAAACCGACTTATTTAGACTTTTATTCCCAAAAAACGTTCTCATTCAAAAAAAATTACAAAAACCGACCTGGCGGTTTTTGAAAAAAAAATTCCGAACTCCCGTGAAGTTTAGTAGATCTGCTAAACTTCACAGGAATTCAATTCCCGTGAAGTTTCGGAATTTTTTTTTTCAAAAGCCTACCTGGTTTCAACGCTGAGGCTGAAACCAAGTCGGTTTTTGCAATTTTTTTTTGAATGGGGTTGTTTTTTGGGGTTAAGTTCACAAATGTGTCCGTTTTGAAAATTTGTCCTTTGTAAATTCTAACACATCTGCATTTTCCAATCTTAGGAGTGGTGGTATTGCCAGGCTGCATAGAATTTGGATTCATTTACCCTCTTAAACCAGCACTATCTGCTAGATGTTTGTTTGAATATCTTGCGTAAATTCTTAACACGTTACATGTTTACATGATCTCTTACGTCTGAATTGTTTCAAACAGGGTATTATCAGAGAACAACCTCACAGGCCCCATACCCACCTCCTTAGCAAACCTCACAAACCTGCAGAACGTAGACCTCTCCTTCAACAACCTTCAAGGTTCACTCCCAACGAACCTCTCCAACCTCCCAAACCTCCTCTCCTCCA